AAATGACACTGATAGTCATCAATTATATTAAATCATGAGAAACTACATAGGACCATTTTTATATTTAGTTTGATTAAAGCTTATTAACGTCACATTCAAAAAAAATATAAAAAAGGACAAGTTATGATATTGATTGCTATAGATTATTTGACAAAATCAAAACTATTTTTTATAACTTATAAATTCATAAAACTCTCAAAGATAAAAAAAGTCAAAATTGGCATGTTTTCATTTAAGTGCATCATTTTTATAGGTAAAATTATGTCAATATCTTTAAATTTCACATAAATTCTTACTAACTAGTTTTTAATGTCCATTTATACTATCTTAATTCCTATTAAAGGCATAATTATTTTTCATCATGAGAACATTAAATGATTTTTCTTCTCTTAACCTTTTATATTATCATGTAACTATTCAATATTTTAATTAAAAATATATAAAGAAAATAAAAATTATATTGATCTCCTCAATATCATATCAATTTCATTAAAATAAAAGTTTTTTACTAACATTTCAAAAATGTTATTATATCTTCGCACAACATAACTATATATTCCAATTATAATTATCATTGTTTTGGTTACAATGATATTTGTCATAACAACCAACTTATTATACATTATCAACTTTTTTTTAAAAGAATAATGTCAACTTTTAACAATGAAAGTTATCAAAACTATAATCAAAGATGTTAAATAACCAAGTTCTTCTATCTTAATATTGTAATATTTACTATATTGTACTTTGTCTTTCACTCAATATATTATACTCGGAATACAAACTTAAAACAGAACTACATTGTTTAAAATATGACTAAGGTAACGTAACATATGTATAAAAATTGATTTTTGTTATTTACTACTTGTTTAAAGTATAAAATCTATCGAGGATTAGACATTTTCAAACTTAATACCAAAACACTTTACATATTAAGAAAAGTATTGAAAAATACTAAACACAATATCAATAATAACATATACATTTTTTAAAACTAACAACTATAAACAAGTCAAGCTAAGGAATATAATTTTGTAACATAATTACATAAACTTCATTTATTAAGTCTATATAGTGAAGAAAACAATAGTTGAGACGATAGAAACATAATAATTACATTCCCAAGCATTAAAACTTCTATTTTTTTTTTCTTTTATAGTTGAGTATTCTCAATTCATGAAATTGATGATTTGTATTCAGTGTATCTTCTAATGTTTTCAATATCAATCACCAAAAGTTAGGTCAAATATTGGAAATCGATTTCGAATATACATAAAAAATATATCAAGTTATTCAAGAGAAGTTACTTCTTATTCTAATAATTCATTTTCTTTGAAACATAATAATTATAAAAACAAATAATGGTGAGAACTATTAGTAATTCTTAAAAAAGTTACTTTAGAAATAGCTTAATCCCTCCTGTTTTCACAATCCAAAAACAAACATACATAAAATAATATTATTTTACATTTTTAATATCAGTTGAGGATCTCCTTTAATTTAATATTTTCAACAAGTTAAAATAATGGTATATTGTAGACCACAATCTGTAAGAGTGAATCATTGTATCTCTTTTTAAGCCTTAGATGATTAAAATTAATGTAAACATTTAATAACTATAAAAATGATAATATGTGTAACATAATAAAATACAGATAGAATTAATTCTTCATTTTAAAATAATTTTAGACAAACTGTAAGTACATTGTTGTTGTAAAAATAAATTTATTTTAGATAAATATATTCGTGAAAATATAACCAAAAACTTTAGAAAATAAAAGAAAACTAAAACACCAATCATTTTACAACAAAGAGAATAATATATTTGAGTTTTTTTAACCTTTTACACATAATAATTTTAAAATAACAGAACCCATAAAGATTTTTCTTCGTTTTTCATCAAATGGTATTACAAGGAAAAAGTAATAATGGCTACACAGATTATAAGTACAGCTAAAATACACAAATCATATTACTCAATACAAAAAAAATATCCAAGAATTTGTAATTTTTATTTAATTTAAGTCAAAAGAAGAAAGTGTATTCAAAAGATACAATAAAAAGTATGTTAATGACATTTTTCTACTATACGATATTTCATTGCAATCAAAGTATACTTTCAAACAACAGAAATGTAATAAAGGATGGTAGCTATGCTACTGTCCAAGGTAATAAAGGTCGATGCAAGATTTGAACAAGACCTTATCATATTAAAAGTTTGAAATTCCCGTTGATGTGATATTGTAGGGTGAACAACAATAAAGGATATGGAAAAGAACGAATAAACGTGTAGATGTGAGTGCCACAAATGAAGCCCCAAAGATTTTGTCAGGATGAATAGCTACAAGGTCTTCATTTAAACTCATCTAGAAATCAATCACTGAGTAAATTAATATGGAGAAAAAAGTTCATTGGATTCTACATCCCCCAGTATCGGGTCCACGCCGGACATTACCATAGGCAGACAGTTCAAGAAGATCCATATCACGATCTGTGCAATGCATCCAGTACTCTAGTTAATAAATTTCGAATTACTACTAAAGTTAACGCAATCATTATAGTTGTACCTGAAACCCTGCAATAAGAACTCTTTTGAATAAGTTCAGCTTTGGAGATATCTGTTCGGTTACCCTTTGAACGATTAACTGTTGCCTGAAAGCCATGGATAGAAACTTTTAAGTGAATTAAGGGAACCAGATTAAATCCCTAAACTACAGCATGTTGGGTAGTTTTTTTTTCACTTGCAAACAAATAAAATTGGGACGGGGGAGTAAATTGTACTAGTAAAACTAAAACTCCATGAACAAACCAAATAAAAGAGGGAAATTATATAAACATCTAACAAAATTAATGGCATCCCTTTTAGGACTACCGAATAGAAACTGGAAATGTTGAAAATCATACAGATATCGGGTAATGGAAGCAACAGAAAGAAATGTAAAATTGGAGCGAAGGAGTCACGTTTTTGAGAAACAGGTCATTGGCTCTAGTAATGTCCCTGATTTACATTGGCTCTAGTAATGTCCCTGGTTAGTAGAATTTCCATAAATATCTTGACAGAGTATTTTTGACGCTACACTAAAAGGAAAATCCATTTCACAAAGAAATATGGATGATTTTTACGCACTAGTGTAAAAAGAAATGCCTATAGTTAAATCAAGTTTACCAGTATCACTGTAATGTAACTGGTAAGGATCAGAACAAATATGTTTAAATTAAAAAAAAAAATCACATTAACACATTTTTTTTCAAAGTAAATATTACAAGATTCCTTCAAAACCTCTGGCCATATTCTCCCTTCAAAAGGAAACAAAGAAATGGGAAAAAAAAAGAAAAATCTTACCTGTAATACTTGACAGTTTTCCAGAGTGCTTTCTCCCCCCTGTAGTTTCACAAAAACACCCAAATGAGGAATGAGCAAAACGAAAATTAAAACCAAAATGTATTGGCAAGCAACTTAATGATGGTACTGATATTTGGAGGGTCGCATAAAAATCCATCATTGTCTTCTCCTTACGTCACTAATAAAGCATATGGTTCAACTCAAAATTTCCTTTTCACTTTATTATAGTTCTTTATTTCCCCACCATGACGCTAATTAAATCCAGTGACATTTTCAGAAAAATCAAGTTCAGAAATTTCCATTGAAGAAACACAGCAAAGACTCGAAAAAGGACAACCCGTAACGGTAATTTCCATTGAAGTTGCTTTTCCTTAATCTACGTGGGAATATGCAATACACAAATTATGCAGAGCATATAGAAGTGCAGAGTAGGGTCTTCTCCTAAGACAATTTGGTACAATACCACGTAGGCATACGGCAACTCAAAGAAATCTAATTATTGAGACAAAAGAAAAACAATAGAAATTGAGTTAAGAAATGAAAATAAAGGGTAAGACCTTAGAGTAAGGGACAATGTGGTCGTAGTCATGACAGAGACAACCGGGGCAACCTACGAGCTTGCGAAAGACAGTATTGCCGAGGGCGTCCCTGCGCCAGCGGTCGGGGTCTCGTCCTTTGACCTTGTCTGCCTTTTCCCAGCATTTCTGCTTAACGCTGTGAGGGAAGCTCCGAGGGTTAGGGTTAGGATAATCGAGAGAGAGAGAGAATACGTCATGGTCAACGTCGAGGAGAGTGGCAGAGGGTGATGTGCTTCGTTTGGACGGAGAAGATAATTTAGACGAAGAGGTTTTGGATCTGTCCTTCAGTGGTGACGAAGACCTCGCCCTCCTTCTTCTTTCTTCTCTGCTACTCGACTCAGTAGCAATACTACCCTTCATTCTCTTGGCCCCTTTTTCTTCCTTATCCAATTTCACATTTTATAATTTAGGATTCTCTTAAAATTCATATACATAACTCTTTTTAGGAGCACATTTACATAACTTATAAATATACTTTTATCATTAAAAAATAAGCAATTAAGTGTTTTTTTTACTTTTTTAAAAATAAATCATTTGTCTTTTGTAGAAAATAAGTTTATACAAACAAAAAACCTTACATACTACTTAAAAAAAACTATGACACTTTTTTTGCATTAACATTTTATTGCCTAATTTTATTTGAGTTGTAATTAAAAATTATATATATATATATATATATATATATATATATAAATTTATATTTTAAAGATTATTTTTAAATAAATTTGTTTTTTTAAAAAAATAAATATAAAAGTAGTTACAGGTGTTTAACAAATTTCATAAATTATACTTTTACTTTTATTTTAAAAAAAAATTAATGAATACATAAAGTTATAAATTAGAAATTATTTGTATGATTTTATTCATAGAGAAAAAAAAGAAAAAAAAGAAAAAAAATATTTTTTTATTTGATAAAAATAATAAATGTGTTACAATAATGAGTATATGTCCGAGTAGACCTTTTCAAAAACATAAAAGAGACATAAAAACTAAGGAAATGGGTAAAAAAAAAAGATAAACAGAAAGAAACATGTGAGTTTGTTTTAAAACGTGGTATATGTGCATGAGGAGGAAGAGAGAGGAAAATGTGTTGGTTTTGTTGGTAGAGGAGGTGTTTGTTGCATGGTGCCAACGATTGGGGTCTCCCAAATCTCACCCTTCATATTCATGTTACGAGCTTGGTTGGTTCCCCAAACTCTACCCACCGAAATCACAGCTATACCTTTCATCTTTCAACAATTTGTTAGCTCCTAGATTTCATATCCAGCTTTCCTTCTTTCTCTCTACTCGCCATCTCCCATAAACAAATGCTGCTCTGATTCTTTAGTTACCTCACACCTTCACCACTTTTTTTTAACATTTCCATTCACTTCTCTCGATTCTTTTCCTACACGCTCTCTTCACTCTCTCAATAAGGTTCTTTTTTTTAACTCTATCACAATTTGGATTTCCTTCAAATATAGCATTGCCCCTTTCTCTTCAACTTCAATTCTTTCTCTTCATATTTGGCTTAAGTTTTTGTTTGTTTGTTGCATCCTTCAACCTCCTCGCTTTTTTAATGGCTTGGAAACTTTTTTTACCAGATGGGGAATTTAAGATCAATTACTATGTTACATCGAATCATTTATTGTCAAAATTTGGTTAAATTAATTATTTGTTTTCGGTTGTTTGTGGCAATATTGGGGGCGAGGGTATATAAGGCTAAATGTGTTCACTCTTAATCCTAAATTTGCAGGATGGGAAGGGTTAAATTGAAGATAAAGAAATTAGAGAGCATAAGCAATCGGCATGTGACTTATTCAAAGCGTAAAAGTGGAATTTTAAAGAAAGCAAAGGAATTATCAATACTGTGCGACATAGACATTCTCCTTCTCATGTTTTCTCCTACAGGAAAGCCTACATTACTACAAGGAGAGCGCAGGTAATAATAATGAAAAAATATTTAAGTTGCGTTGGGAATGACTGAATGATACTGTTTTGTGAGTGAGTTGAACATGTATGTCTGAATAGAACAACTAACCAAGAACCTTGATATGATATTTATGCCTTTCTATGAGGAAACAACCCTGCTTGCTGTAACAAACATTGTATGACATATGACACCCAATGGTTTTTTTGTATTTTGAAAGTATTTGTATGGTAAACTTTTATTGTTTCATTAAAACACACTATCTGTTGTAGGTGCAAATAATCTTCTAGGAGGATAATGAGATATTGTTAGTTTTATAGAGAATGCAATTTAATACTGTATATTATTTTATTGGGTGGATCTGTAATAAGAGATTACTCTCGCATTTGAAATTTGAAATCATTAAGTATATATTCTTTGGACTGTAATTGTTTATTGGATAAAAGAACTGGATTCCAAATTTTCTCGGTGTGACTAGAATTCTTTCCATTTGCTCCGGAGGTCTTGTTAAATTGAAAGCTGTAAATCAAAACATGAGTGTGTAAATTTATAAGTTTTTTTTTATAGTTTTGTAACATTTATTTATAAGCATAATATTATATACTTCAAACTATTAAATTGGTTGGTTTCGTGGTAACATAGAAAGAAATGATTCTAATCTATTTGCAAGTGTTTCAAGTATAACTAGTTCCTAGTCAATCCTTAACTTAAAACAGTACATTAAAATGTATATGCAATAATTGAACAGTTGAAAAGAAAAATAGCAATTCAACAACTCCAACACTATAATAATAACAACAAAAGTCTAATTATACTATGATTTGTGTTCAACATATTTGATGAGTATTATGTTGGTTTTCAAGTGTCCTAGAACCCTTTTCCTCTGACCAGACTGCATCCAGCTACTCAAGTATTATATATGAGATATATTTTTGTATGTAATACAGTTTAATATTCTAAATGGTATAAAGAGACAGAACGATAGTATTGTTAACTAGCTAGTCCTTGTTAACGCCCATATTTTCATATTTACTGTTCAAGTTTATGATTTGTTTTCTTTCAAGCTAGAACCAAGTCCAAATAGTTATGTTAATTTTTTTTTTTTTCACAACGTGAAAGAGACTAGATTCATGCAATATCACTAATAAAAAAAATGCACGTTTCAGGACTTAAAATGTAAAATAGTAAATTCATTATGATCTTTAATAATATTGAATATTGGTTATTATTTTCAGTAATATTGAGGAGGTTGTTGCAAAATTTGCTCAACTTAGCCCACAAGAAAGGGCCAAAAGGTTTGTCAACCGTTTTTGTGAACTTGAATCGTTTCTTAGTTTTCATTTGTTAGTCATAAGGAAGCTAATATATTTCCTTGTTTTATTGAGCAGGAAAATGGAAAGTCTTGAAGTAAGAATACTCTGTTTTTCTCAATTACGTTTTCTACATACATTGTTTTTGTTTTGTCAAATTCATCTTTCGTGTTGTCTCTACATTTGGTAATGTTTAGAATTCTGTTTTGGTTTTAAATGTAGGCTTTAAAGAAAACCTTCAAGAAATTGGATCATGACGTAAAAATACAGGATTTCTTAGGTTCAAGGTAAGTTTCTACGATCATCAATTTGTCAATGTCTTTTACATAAAGCTGTCTATAGTTTCTCACTTTTATCTTTTCTACCTTGCAGCAGCCAAACAGTGGAGGTACAATTTCTTCATAGACAACGCAATGTTTAATAATAATGTCAGAATCTTTAGTTAGAAGTTGAGCAACCAAAATGTTATGATCTGTGTGTAGGAATTATCTCATCAAGTGAGGGTTTTACAAGCTCAGCTCACAGAAGTACATCAGAGACTGAGGTGCAACTTTGGAGCTTTTGGTTGTTAAAGTATTTCTTTTTCTTTTTGGTTTTATAAGCTCTCCTGTTGAAATATTATTCATTTGACCTCTTCAGGTTTAGTGTTTTGCAATCAATTGGTTACTTCAATCCCTTATATATTATTTTCTTGTGCATTTGAACTTTGACATGTTTCTTTATGCTCATACCCACGTTCACATGTCAAAATTATTGCAGGTGATGTAACTTTTGATGTTTTTTAATCTATTTGAGATTTGGGTTTTCTGTATATAAAATGATTTATTATAACGTCAAGAGATCAAATATAACAAATTATAATTGAAAATACTATTCTATCCTCTTCCCATAAACAAAACACTAGCATAGTTATGATGTTGAGTTCTGATAATATTTGATTTGTTACTAGAATGTTATAAGTTTGTTTATAGTATTACAAAAGGAAGTAGTAATTGATACTAGTTTATATATTGCATTATTTATATTTTGGCAATGCGTAAGAAAATCCAATCAAATTTCACATTTTGTATGACATATTCTACCAGTTGTGAGTATGAAACACAACACCTTATCTTTGTTCATAACCTGTACTTTGTTTAGGTCAGAGAAGTGAAACCATTGTACTCGTTCACCTTTCTTAAATATCTAGTTTTTCATAGTTGCAGAAATTTTAGTAGTTGGATTTGAGCAATTCTTATCCGTTAACATTCATCGAACTTCTACTTGATTTTTCCTCTGCTAACATTAACACTCATAATACGAACATGATGCTATATGAAATTGATGTTGTCATACATGAGTTATGGGTCATGAAAGTTTAAGTAATAATCATTAATTAATATTGTGTTTAAATTTTCAACATTTTAGCTATTGGAATAATGTAGAGAAGATCAACAATTTAGAGCATCTGAGGCAAATGGAAGAGTCAATACGAGAATCAATCAATCGAGTCGGCCTGCAGAAGGTAAGTCTTTGTTTCATGTGTAGACTAGCCATATTGCCATGTCATCTTCAAATGACCACTACACCAATCCATAAATAACTAATGAAATTTAGGTTTGTATGTTAACATGTCAACATGCTTTCTGAAATTAACAGGAAAATTTAGGGAAGCACCAACTCATTTCACTTGAATGTGCTAACCAGGTAGTAAATGCTGTATTTTCTCTTTGTTAATATTTCTTGTTCCACTTTTCAATAATTTTATTTGGTATATTATTGCATCATAGTTACAGGAAGGGATGGCTTTACCCTTGATGATGGCAAGTCTACAAGAATCTCAACCACTGTCTTGGCTTTTGAATAATGATAATCATCAATTGTTGTTACCAAATGAACCAAAATTTCTACCATTCAGGTGGGTTAAATCATGTCTATTAATGGTTTATTAGATTTTCTTCCTGTGATTCATCTTTCAATGTAGTTACTGGTTTAATTGTGTAACATACAGTGATAATACTAATAGAGAAGTTGAGTGTTCCACTGACATTTCACTTCCAAGCTATTCAAATTATATTGGGAGCAACAAACTTGAAGTTGGTAGCTCTCCCCAAGTGACTTTGGGTCAAGGAGGTGGTGCAATGAACGAGCTAAATGGAACTACATATTTAAATGTACAACGTTGTGACCAATTTACGTTCCCTCCACAAGATATTGAGGAAGCAAAGCATTTACCTACATTGAACAATAAATCAAACACCGTGGATTACCAAGTTAACAACTTTGATCTTTCCGGTTCACTATTTGAAAATGGACATCAATTTTGGAATTCTGCTTCGGGGTCTTGTGGTATTGCCATGTATAATGAGAACGGCTACCACAGGGTAAGCAATCCTTTTATGTTTCAATGATTCATACTTTTGGGGATAGATTTTGAATTTGCTAATGTCGCTCAAATGGACATTAAGACAACTCGAACAAGACATAATATTTAGTGTGTTTCAATTCTTCATGTTGGACTTTACTCCTACTTTTCTTGTAGACAATTTGAGTTTAGGTTGTTTCTGATGTCCTATATATTTTGCAGTAAATCACTGAGTCAACTATGCATACTAGCCTTTTTGGAGTGACAAGTTATTAGCTGATAAAGTGATGACAAAATGGTTGCAAATTATGTCTACAAAAACCAAATTAGATTGTCTCTCCACCTATGAGGTCAACGTGGTTGGTGAGAGTGGACAATATTAGTTGTATATATTGTAAGACTTGTAGGATGCAGTTTTCTCACATACCAGTATTAAATTCACTAACTGTTTTACTAGTAGATTTTTGGAACTGAATAATCCAAGCTGTAAATTTGAATTTTGTACAAAATTTATTTTAATGGTCTTATAAATAGTTTCACAAAGTCAAAGTTTATTTGTTCCGGTGTCCCTTAGCACACATACAATCTTTTATCTAAGAACATATTATTCAGAAATCAAAGTTCCAAATTAGTCATTAATATTGTAATGTTATATGAAGAACTGTGCTATAATATTTTTATTTAGATTTCATATTTGAGTCCGCGTAAAATATATTACAAACGAACAAAATATTAGAGATAGTGAGTTAAATTTCTCAATCAAGACTAATTGTCTTTTTTTGCACTTTTGAGATAAAAGAAAAGTTTTAAACCATGCAACTTCTAATTTTTTGCACTACATTTGGAATTTTAATTTATTACTAACCTAGGAGGAGATGCAAACACAAAAAAAGTATTCTGATTCATGGTTGATAAATTATAACATTAGTGACTTTGATGGAAAATAAATCAGTAGAGGTAATTTACAATAAATAAATATATATATATATATATATATATATGGGGTTTGCTAACGCGCGTACGCCTGTTTTTCAGTTGGTACATTTTAGCAATGTGTACCGGATTTTAGTAGACAAAAATATCCTTATATATTATGGATTCCAAGTTTTAAGGTTAAGGGTATTTTAATAATTTTCATTCTCAAAACTTAAAAAAAAAAAAAAAAGAAACCCCCCAAACCCTTACTCACCTCTCTCATTCCTCTCAATCCTTTCTCTTTCATCTCTCTCACTCCAACCTTTTCTCTGTCATCTCTACTGTAGCCCATTGACATATTCACCTTCAAGGCAAAGGTTTATTCAAGATCTCCCCAATTGAAAAAAATCAGAAACACATGCCTTTAAAAAATTTTCCTTTGTAAAGAGGTAGCCCATTGACATATTCACCTTCAAGGCAAAGGTTTATTCAAGATCTCTTCAATTTCATCATCTTCATTAACCTCTCTAATTTCATCATCTGTATTTGTTGAATCATCATCTCTAAAAAAAACCCTCCAGGCCAATTACTTATTCTTTCGGATGTCATTATGCTTGTGAAAATTAGATAAAATTATATACGACAAAAATTATAAAATGAAAACTCATTATAAAGTCATTTTTTGTAATAAATTGTTTAACAACTGAGTGTTTCTAATTTTTTTCCAGGCCAATTATCAATTCCTTTGATGTCATTATGCTTAGATAAAATTAGATTAGACAAAAATTATAAAATAAAAATTCATTATAAAATCATTTTTTGTAAGAAATTGTTTAACAGCGAGTATTTCTGATTTTTTTCCAGGTCAATTATCAATTCCTTTATGCTTGTGAAAATTGGATAAAATTAGATAAGACAAAAATTATAAGATGAAAACTCATTATAAAATCATTTTTTTGTAAGATTGTTTAACAGCAAGTGTTTCTGATTTTTTCAATTGGGGCTACAGTAGGGGGATGACAGAGAAAAGATTGGAGTGAAAAAGAGGAAAGAGAAAGAGTTGAGAGGAATGAGAGAGGTGAGTAAGGATTTGGGGGATTTCTTTTTTTCCTTTTTTTAGTTTTGAGAATGAAAATTATTAAAATACCCTTAACCTTAAAACTTAGAATCCATGATATACAAGGATATTTTTGTCTACTAAAACCCGGTACACATTGCTAAAATATACCAACTGAAAAACAGGCGTACGCGCGTTAGCAAACATATATATATATATATATATATATATATAACCACGTCATTGCCAATTGATAAAATCCAATTTATATTCACCAAAAATAGCATTCAGACAGAAAACTCTAACTTATATTAAATGAAAAACTATAGTGGTATATAACAATAATAATAATAACTTCTATTAATATTAATAAAAAAACTCTAGTCAACATTGATTAACAAGTAAAGATACCAACATATTTAAGTTTTAGTCAAACTAACCATGTTTCAATAGGAATCAAATGAAATAAAAATCCTAATTTGAAAATGTAAAAATTTTAAAATTCTTACTTTCAACTAAAATTTGAAAATTTGTAATGATAAATAATTCAAACACTTTCATAAAATTATAAAATTCCGAAAAAAAATATATTAAAACAACATGTTTTTAATAAAGCATTTTTAATTGTTTATAAAAATAATAATTTAATTAAGTTGCAAGTCCTTCGTGTTGTTGTTGTTTAATTTTTCTTTAACCGGATTATTATCTTCATTTTATTTCTATAATTTAAAGAAATGTAAGAAAGATTATAATTATCATATAATATTAAAATAACAAAAAATACTTATCATTGTACAAGTCATACATGTCGTTTTACATTTTCAATATTATATTTCTGTCATAGATAAAATAAAATAAAATAAAGAAATAATATAATAAACACACCACCTAATCAAAGAAAAAACTGAGGACAATATTCAATTGAAAAATGTAAAAAAAATAATAATTAAAAATGTCTATATTAATAAAAAGCTTAATTTAATTAAGCCAAAAGTTAAATTCACCAGGTTTAAGATTATACACGAAAGATATATTTATAAAAACATAATGGAGATGCGGGGTATCGATCCCCGTACCTCTCGCATGCTAAGCGAGCGCTCTACCATCTGAGCTACATCCCCATATATATTATCTTTTCAGGGTTTATATATTTCATAGACAACTTGACAATAAATTAAAAATCAACCCAATTGTAAACTGTGCTTAAATTTAAATAGGTGCTATTTTTATATACTTAGATTTTATATTCGTTATGTTTAAATGTGTAAATTGTACTCTATATATATAATAGAGAAGTTTAATTTTAATATAAAGTTTTTTTTAGCTATTGATAATTTGTTTAGGTTGCTGAAATTTTATAGATATGAATAAAAAAATTTGGATACACGACTAAACAGTTTACTTAATAGAAAACAACTATTATTTTATTAAGATATGATAGAATAAAATAAGATAGGTATATTTATTTTACTCTCATTAATTAATTAATTTTTTTTTTGTGGTAAATTATTTTTTTATCCTATTAATTTTCCAGAGAAATATTGAATTAGAAAATACTTTAAAATGATAATTCATCTCCCGTATGTTTAATGTTACCATAATTTTCATCAAAAATTTCACCAACATTATTTATTATTATTATTATTATTATTATTGAAAATACATATTCATGTTTAAATAATAAAATTATTATTGTTGTTATTATTATAATTATAAAATAAAAATATTTTTTATAATTTTTATTTATTTTATAGGTGGTTTTATAATTAAAAATCGTTAAATTTTAAAAGGATATCAAATGAAAAAAATTAAATAAATAGTTATTAAAAAAAACTATTAAAATAGTTATTTTAATTTAAAAGGAAACATTCACGTTTATGTTTAAAACCTTTAAAAAAATTTAAAAAAAAACAAAAAAAGAAACTAGCATAAGAGCTTCTTTTTTTCATTTTTTTTCGTGTTTTCTCTTTTCAAACCTTCCCAACAATTACAACTACTTGTGCAACCACTACCTAAGGTAAGATGTGGTTCATTTAAAGCAAATGCATGTTGTTTAGTTGTTTGCGATATATTTTTATACTTATTATTTTCATATGGAGTGTGTTTTGAACCTCTTCAAATATAAACACAAGTCCTTTTTTTCTTCATCACCAATGACAATTCCTCCACAACATCAACCAGAATTAAGGTTCTTGGTTCACCCTTTAACTTCGTTCAAGATTGGGATATGTACATAAAATATTGAATGAACCTTGAAGTTTGACTTGTCTTTATTCAAGTTTGGATATGACCTAATTTGCATGTGATTTTGGTTATGTTTCCAATTATTTTATTTATCTTGGCTAAATTTTGTTAAAAATACGAAGAACTTTGTTTGGATAAGCTTTTCTCACCATTTTTTTAATTGTCTTGTTAATATGTTTTTTCTAACTTTAAACGTTAATATTCATAAATAATGAAGTTGTGTTATTTTATCAATTGTTCAAAAATTAATCACCTACAACACATGATACAATAAAGAAGATAAGACACAAATTGACAACTTATTTATTAGAACAATAAAGTTAGGCCGGTTTAAAATTGAAGGATCAATATATTTCAATCAAGAAATTGGTGAATTGGTTTAAAACTGGTTTTAGGTAAATTAGGTGTATAAAATATGTTAAAGATGAACTTTTCAACCTTTTAAAGTATTAGCAGATTAATAAGTAAGAACAATAAAATAAACCACACAAAGATTTATACTCATTCAACTCTTTAAGCATTTACCTATAGTCTTCTTCTAACCATTTGAGTTGGAATGAAATTCACTAATAACAAGTATCAAGATTATAAAATACAAAATCCTAAAGGTGAGGCTACACACTAACACTAGGAATCAAAAATAAAATCATAAGGATGAGACTACACACACTAAGACTAGGAACCTTGCCAACACAACAAAGATAAACGCAACTCAAAGAATTACAAAATATAGAACTTTATACACTCCTAATGTAGATCTTACAAAGATTTCGGGATCTAGACAATTCCTTAATCTCCCATTTTGCTCTTAAAAGCTTGAACATTTGAATCTCTACCATTTATGTTGGCTATCTCCAAGAATATTCCAAAAATTTGCACAAAGTGTTATTGTTTCACAAATTACAGGTCAAAGAATGTTTATTGTTCCTACAAAAGGAATTACACATATACATACATACATACGTGTGTGTGTGTGTGTGTATATATATATATATATATATAGCAAAAAAACACATTTTTGACAATTTTAATCGATTAAGTTATTTTCTTAATTGATTAAAATAAAGAGCTAAGCTTCCTCGATTAAAGCAAAGAGCTAGACATATTTTTGATAGTTTGTACCCCTAATTGTATATCATCAAATGATCCATTTAAGCACTTATTAAAAACAGTTAGAAACATTATTCAACATTATAAAAAACATCTAGAGACTTATCTTCAAATCAAGTTAAGAACATCTTGATCATTTTGAGTTGCTTGAATTGAATGACCAACCCTATCAACAAGGACTCACTATAACACTAGTTACTTTGCTTGAAAATTATCTACAAATATATTTTTTATTATAAAAATTTGAGTTTTGATATATAATACATGTTGATTTGTTTAGTTGTGTTGAATTTTTTTCTAATATTTTCAGTTTAGGTAAATTATTAATATAAATAAAATATTTTTAAAAATAAATAGTATTTGATGTTTGTTAATATATTATCAAATGTTACAAAATTTTAATTTTAAATGACATTAATTGAACATCGATATATTGTGGTAACCATCATTAAAAGATGGTTTAAACCCTTTAGTTGTCCATATTTTTGTGGGTTTTTCCCATTTTGATCCCTTTTTTTTGGAATCCCCGATTGAGTCCTTAAAAGTGCTAATTTGAATCAATTGAACCCCTGCCGTTAAATTTACTTAACGGGTTAAGTTTTTGCATAGGTGGGAGGTTCGTGTGTCATTTTTTAAAACGTAGCATGTTGAGAGTTGAAATGTGGAATTTGGCAACTTGTTAAATTTTAATAAAATAGATTTCTGAAACGGGATTTAGGGTTGAATGAACTTAAATATGGGATTTCATTCGTGATTAAAAATTTGAGACGAATGTGGTTGTGAGAGGAATGTGGTTCTGAACCTTGCGCAAGCACGTGAAGTTTCCAAACCCTATTTGGTTAATTAGGGTTCGTTGTTGTTAAAGATTGACTAGCACGTGAAGTTTCGAAACAGGAAAGTGCGAAAGCAGAAGACGCAACATTGTCGATGGGTCATTCGTGTTCATCTTCCACTTACAATGAGTGTCGAAGAAAGCATTTGATGTCATTATAAGAAGTGTGTTCTTGAAATCCACGTTTCTTCTCTTACTATCGGTTAGTCTTCCATCTTTCAGGATCTGAAGCATCATGTTAAATACACCAGGATGGGCTTTCTCAATCTCATCAAATAGAACAACAGTGTAAGGACGACGTCGAACTGCCTCGGTCAACTAACTGCCCACCTTCAGTGTAACCAACATACCCAAGAGGTGAACCAATAAGTTTGGAAACTGTGTGTCTTTCCATAAACTCACTCATGTCAAGTCGTATCATAGCTTCTTCAGAGCCAAAGTAGTATGCAACCAATGCTTTGGCCAATTCATACTTCCCTACACCAGTTGGACCAAAAAAGATGAAGCTAGCAATTGGACGGTTAGGGTTCTTCAGTCCAACCCGAGCTCTACGAATAGCCTGACTAATGGCTTTCACTGCTTCATCATGACCAATATATCACTTATGTAAAGTCTCTTCCATCTTGAGGAGGCGATCAGATTCATCCGTCAAGACTTTCTCAACCGGAATACCAGTCCATGATGAGACAATATGTTGTATGTCAGCTTCAGCCACAGTAGGACCTGCATCCCCTGCCTCATTCTCTGCTTTGCTCATCTCCTTGCCTTTCTCTATAAGTTTTGAGATTTGTGCCTTAAGTCTCTCCTAATGCACTCTCCTCTCAAATTTCTAATCCCAAATTGAATCCCAAATTCTATTTCATTGAACCCTAAATCCCATTTCAAAATTCACTAATATTATATTATTACATTTTACCAAATTCCACACATAAAGGCCAAAATCATGCCACATTTCAACTCTGTGCATGCCACGCTTTAAAAAATTGACACATCAACCTCCTACCTGTGCAAGCATGCCAAACTTTAAAAAATTAACACATCAAACTCCCACCTGTGCAAAAACTTAATCCCGTTAAATAAATTTAATGACATAGGTTTAATTGATTCAAATTAGCACTTTTAAAGACTCAATTGAAAATTAAAAAAAAGAAAGAGATCAAAATAGAAAAAACTCACAAAAATAGAAACAATTAAAGGGTTTAAAGTAGAGCCGTCAAAATGGGTTGAAACCCGTGAGCCAACCCGGCTCACCACGGGTTTGAGCCGGGTTGGGTTGAAAAAAAATGTCAAATTTTTTATGCGAGTCAATTTTGACCCGGCTCACTAAGAACCCGGCTCACATGGGTTGAACCCGTGGTGGGTCGGGTTGGCTCACCAATCCACCTATTTTTTTTAATTAAATCAAATTAATTAAATTAATTATTTAAATTCTATTTTTTTTTATTAAAATTAAATTAATTAAATTAATTATTCAAAATGTATAACTTTTACTTAGTAATATGTCTTTAATTATTTATTACTTTGTGTTTCAATATTATTAGTTAACACTACTTTTTATTGTATTGTAGATAGAGATAAAGAAGAAGATGCTTCAAGAGAGCATAATCCTATGGATTTATTCATTCAGGACTCCAATTTAATAGATGGATAATATTATAGATTGGATAATTCAAGAATATATCATTTGTTTTATCTTGTTTTTAGACCTATCTACAAGCATCACAGTTTTATCTTGTGCTATATATTTTTGTTAATGGCTATATGTAATTATGTATGTCTCATTAAACTAAATTGGCAAAATTTTATACTTGATAACTTAAAATATATATAACAATATATTTCTTTTGTTTCATTTTCTTTTATATTAATTGATCATATTATTACTGTTTCAATTTGATCGATCAAAATAACATGTTATAAGAATCTCGGAAGAAGAGAGTGAAAAAGAAGTTAATTAAGTGAGCCAATGAGCCAACCCGTTTAACCCACCAACCCGTGGTGGGTCGGGTCGGGTTTGAATTTTTTCGGCTCGCTAATAAATGAGCCGGGTTGGGTTGGCTCACTAAGTGACCAACCCGTGGTGGGTCGGGTTGGGTCGGGCCGGGTTACCCGTTTTGACAGCTCTA